CAAAAGGTGTGATAAATGAGGTCTTCAAGCAGTCAGATTCCTTTAAGCTAATCTGATGATAACCTGAGTAGCAATCCAAAAAACTGAGTAACTCACAGCTGGCCGTTGAGTCAACTACCTGGTCAATGCGAGGTAACCCAAAGGGATCTTTAGGACAACATTTGTTGAGGTCGGTGTAATCAACACACATACGCCATTGTCCTATCTTCTTCCGAACTAGAACCGGGTTTGCCAGCTAGTCAGGATGTAAAACTTCCTTGATGAAGCCTGCTGCTAACAGCTTGGTTAATTCCTCCTTGATTGCATCTTTCCTGTCTTGTGCGAAGCGGCGGAGTAGTTGCTTGATGGGTTTAGCGTCTTCTTTAACATTTAAGGAGTGCTCAATCACCTCTCTAGGAATACCAGGCATATCAGATGGTTTCCACGTAAAAATGTATTTATTACTTTGAAGAAAGGTGATGAGCGCGCTTTCCTATTTACAATCTAACTCAGCGCCTATCACAACAGTTTTGGTAGGATCAGAGGGATTGAGGGGAATTTTCTTGGTCTTGGCATCGCTTTCTCCGGTCTTCGATACCTTGGGTGCAGGCACTTCTCCTTCGGTTGCAGTTGATGCAGCCAGTCAGATCTCATCCCGAGCAAGTGTAGTCTCGCGTGTCTGGGCCATCTCACAGCTTTCCTTGTCACAGGTGACGGCTTGCTTGATGCCGCTCCGCAAAGATATGACTCCTCGGGGTTCTGGCATCTTGATCATCATGTAAGTATAGTGTGGGACCGCCATGAATTTGGCTAACGCCGGGCGTCCGAGTATGGCGTGGTATGCCATCTCAAAATCAGCAACTTTGAAGCAAATATTCTCTGTGCGAAAGTTCTCCCGAGTGCCGAAGGTGACTGGCAGGGTGATCTGGCCGAGTGGAGTAGAAGACAGCCCGGGGATGACTCCGTGAAAGGGCGCACTACTCGGCTTCAGCTCAGTCCGAGGGATCTGCATGTCGTCCAGAGTTTTGGCGAAAAGAATATTAAGTGCACTGCCACCATCAATGATGTATCGTCGGAGCTTAACATTGCGAACCACTGGGTCTAGTACCAGGGGGTACCACCCCAGGTGGACCACTCGGTCAGGATGATTCGAGCGGTCAAACTTGATTGTTGTCTCTGAGCACTGAAGATATTTGGGTGTATCAGGCTGTACGGCGTTAATCTCCCTTTCAGTCAGCTTTTGCTTCCGCTTGGACTCGTAAGCCTGGGTTCCACCGAAAATATGGTTGAGTTCCTTGCAAGAGTCTTGAAAGCCAGTCAATCCATCGTCTTCATCATCCTTCTGTTTAGATGTGCTCTATTCTCCGTCAGTCGGCTTCCATGCTTTCTTGGCGTATTGTTCTACAAACTGCTGAAAGATGAAGCAATCTTTGGCTGCGTGATTTGAATTTAGGTGATGCGAACACTGAGCGCTCATGATCTTGTCGAATGTGTTGATGCGCGATCGCTGTCGAGAAGAAGGTGTTGTAGTTGCTACAAGGTCCTCGGGCTTACGCTTGCGATCCTTTATGATTGGTACTTCCACTCCCCCATGTCGCTGGCGCATCTTTCTTGGGCTTCAATTTACTGCCCGACAGCTTGGACGCGGTAACGACATCATCGGCTTTGGCGTACTCATTATCTTTTTCAAACATCTGCTTGACTGTCTTGGGAGGCTTGCGTCCAAATTTGCCGACCAAGAGTTCGTGACAAACACCCTTAGTGAAAGTGGCAATGATGACGTTGTCGGTGATGTCAGAGATCTTGTTGCGTTACTCGGAAAAACGTCGGATATAATTCCGAAGGGATTCGCCGGGCTTCTGGATCACATTGTAGAGGTCAAACTGGGTGCCAGGACGCTCGAAGGTGCCCTGAAAATTGGCGATGAAGTGTTCGCGAAGCTCTGCCCAAGATCCAATCGTACCACGAGATAACCCGTGAAGCCAGGATCGAGCAGAATCTGCTAAAGCCACGGCTAGGTAATTTGACATGGCCTTGTTATCTCCTCCTGCTGCGCGAATTGCGAGACCATAGACGGTGAGCCATGACTCAGGATTTGTTTTGCCGTCATACTTCTTGATTCCAGTCGGCTTGAAGCCGGCTGGCCAATCCACTCAACGCAGGTCGCTTGTGAAAGCTGCAATTCCGTCTACATCGTCGTCGTAGTGGTCTGGTGAATGGTGTGGAATATAACCTCTTTCTGCGCGACGCCGGTTGATTGTCTTGCAAAGATCGATGGGATGCCTGCGACGTGGAGAGTGAGGCGGTTCAGCACGACGCTCTCTGCGTCTGTCGGTAGGTGAGTGAACAGATCGGTTAACATGATCCCTGCTCCTGTGGTTAGACCCTGAGGCGGCGACGCTGAGGCTTGGTTGATGATAATACCCCTACTTGGCGTGCCAACTGTCGAAACAAAATTTTGGCAATACGAAAAGGGGGTGGCTATCAAGCAGGAAAAGTGGATGGGTTTGGAGACTAGGAATTTTATACAGGTTCAGGCGTTCTCGATGAGAAGTAATACCCTACTCCTGTCCGGGGATTAATCCGCCGAGTGTGTTATTCATCGTATGATCTGGGAGAAAAGTTATGCCCCAAGAGGCACCCGGACCCCTCCTTACTCCTTATATAGTGAGAGGAGTCCGTATTACAACATACAGCCCATATTCCTAACGGAATAGGCAAGTAAAGATAAAATACAATCGTAGCCGTCTAGGATCCCGGGTATTTCCTTGATACACAAGTTAGGAATATAACCCGAGCCTATTAAAGATATTCTATCTATATATGGTACCCCTATACTCAGTCGGATATACATGCCGTATTGGTATGGGGTATCCATAATCTCCACACCTTTGTTATGGTCACATTGTGTATTTGGGAGGTGATCCCAGGGTTGATCTTTCTCTGCATGAGCGTTCTCCTAGGCATCACGAGGATTTTTTTTGTTTGCCTTGGTGGATCCTCCGCTACCATAAGTAGTGTGAGACAATCATTGCGCCCTCATTCTGGACTACATCAAGGTTGTCTGTATGTTTGAGGTTCGTAACAGTTTTCATCATGCCTTTGCTGTTGGCCTCTTTCAGCTTTGTTCTGTTTATGCATCATGATGCCCTAGTTTATAGTCCTCCAGCAGTCTATGATGCACACAAGAAAGCAGCCGCCGACCTCCCTCTACATGCAGCAGCCACCTCCGTCGAAGCCACACCCCGCCGCTGGCCTCCTTCTACACGCCGCAGCCGTCGCCATCCCCAAAGCCACACACAGTACCCCCTGCCACCCTACCTTTGCACGCAGCCGCCACCGTCGACCTCTCTCTACACGCAATGGCCGCCATCGCCCCGGAAGCCACGCGCAGCAGTCATCGCTGCTCTACCACGCGACAACGCCGCCACCGACCTCCCACTACACGCAGTTGCTCCCCCCCCCCCCCCCCCCAAAGGCATGCCCCGCAGTCGCCACTGCCGACCACCCTCTGCACGCCGCAGCCGTCGCTGTCTCCAAAGCCATACGCAGCCGCCACTGCCGCCCTCCCTGTGCGCGTAGGCGCCGTCACTCCCTCCCTAAGCGAACCACCATCGACCACCCTTTACACGCCACAGCCGCCACTGCCGCCCTCCCTCAGCGCATAGCCACCGCCGCTCCCACCCTACAAGAACCATCGTTGCCACCGTCAAAGTCGTACGCAGATGCCACCGCCGCCCTCGAAGCTGTGCGCACCTACCACCGCCGCCCTCGAAGCCGTGCGCATCAGCCGCTGCCGCTCTCCCTTTGCATGCAGCAGCTGCCGCTCTTCTGCGCGCCGGCACCAGCGCCGACCATCCTATCTCTGCAGCAGCAAGCGCTTTCCCACGCAACGCGGGTGCAGCAACTGCCGCCGCTTGCAAGAGAAGAGAGAGAGATAGAGAGAGCGCGTTGGACTGGATAGGATAGGGTTGAAGTATCTTGGGGGTATTTTGGTCAGTTAAATAGTAAATAGTTTTTTTTCTTGTTCCTAAATAAAACCATAACAGTGTAATAAAAAAAGAGTCAGATGGGGTGTTCAATTTTGAAAAGCAGGGTCAAATAAGCAAACAATGAAAAACAAAATAAGGAATTGTTTCTTATTTATTTGTGTTGGCATTCCGTGCAGCAAAAATCATAGTAACGAATTGGTGTTCTACATTTTTTTTATCATTGCAGTGGGTCGGTAACAGACAAACAGCAGCAGCTGCTCTTGATGACAACGGAATTACCCTATGAGAAATAGTCAATTGTAAGAGACAGTCAAATACTTAAACTGATTTTATTCCTTGCAAATGCGCTTGGCAATGTTCAAGGAACCACACTTGATAGGGTGCTAAAATGCTGAATTAAGGTCACATGTTTTCAAATTTCAATACAAGAATCTACAGGATTAGAAACATCTAAATTTACTTCTCTTACACATGCTTACAGTGTAACTAGTTATCGTGCACGTGCAAGGCACGTTTTAACAGTATATATTAGCAAACGAAGAAGAATCTATGCAATGTTTTTTATGTAATGCACTCCATATAAATAGTTCTAGTAATTAAGAAATTTCCATATAAACTACACTAACCTGACAATTTGGATGGTTCTCTATAAAAGCCACTCTGTTGAATCACTACTTCCTTACCAACAAAGGTAAACATATTGTGTGGGTCAAGCACAATTTATACATTGCGATGTTGCTACTTTTTGGACGCAAACAATTAATGATCAAACTCTGACCAATTTTCAGCTAGAAGTGAAAATGCAAGTAAAAGAGAATAACTATCAAGGCTTTATTTTCTTGCAGAATTACAGTTCAAGTCCTAAAGGGAAACCAGGCTGATAAGTTGTAAATGCAAGAAATAGCTAGAGTATAAGAAATCTGCACAGAACAAAAGGTACGCAAAACTTCTGTTAGGAATACATGACGACCGAGTCTATGTGAGTTTTTCTCAGGAGAAAATGAAAGCATACATACATATTAACAATCCTGAAAACAAATTAAGATGACCAAATTATATATTCATGCATAAACCTTCATGTCACTTTTACTTTCATACACCAAAACTCTAATCAAATTCCTAAGACCAGTATACCACAAGAAAGTATGCACACCGGACTTCTGATCAAGACATTTTCAAGGAGGAATTGCGAGTACACATGCAAACCGTAGATGTTGTTCTCGGCAACAATGGAAATGTCGGTCGTCAACAAACAATGAAATGTAATAAGAAAATTCTGTATTTTCTACATGGGAGAAAACCAACGCACCAGCTTTTGAGCTGTGGCTAGCAGGTGAGGAGTTTGATTCCATGGAGGGCTGGAGGAAGAGAGATATATGGTCATAGATGGCATCAAAACCAAGTGACAAAAAAACATAGTAATTAAATTGCTATTTCTTTATCACTACATCTGGAAGAGAAATTTTAGCCTGTAGCAGCGAAGACAACATACATCTAAAAGAGCAAAAGAACCATCCCTCAAACACCAGAACCAATAAGCTCTGCACAGGGAAGCTCTTCAATAAAATTTCCTGACAAATTTACAGGCATGACGTATGAAGAATAGGTAAAATCCATATGTAATACTAACTTGGATTTGAAGAATGCCACGACAGCAACTCCACACTCCCCTGTGCCCACACAAAAGTACAATAAAGATATTGTTACTCCATGAATAGAAATCCCCAATCCGTGCATGTCCTATTCAAGAACATTTTAAGTTTTTAATTCAGTATAATAAAGACAATAGTGTAAAAAACATTTAGGAGCTTAATTATCCAACTTCAAAACACTCAAGCAACATAACGGCAACCACATTCTTCAACACCAAATGTTACTTTTTTGGAGTACGCCTGTACAGCATCACGAAACAATGGATATCATTAGACCTATGTATAACATGACACTTAATGCATTTACTGAATATTAACCAAATAATTAAATTCCAAATTGCATTGATTTGTGTAGTGGGCTGAATAAACCAATTCATGGGGACATCATTAACTTCAGAAAGTTGAAGGCAATATCATCTAACTGCAGCAACATTCTAACTTTAACAACAATCTTCTTACTTTTTTGGAATACGACCTGTACCAATGAATATCATTAGACCTATATATAACATGAGACCTAGTGCATACACCTGAATAGTGAATACTAACCAAATAATTAAATTCCAAATCACATTGATTTGTTGTGTGGGTTGAATCATCCATATATTTAGACAAGTCGATTTCATGAAGTTGGTACATGATTAATAAAGAACATGTGCTGTTAAAATTATTTCGAAACAACTTAAGAATTAAGTCACTAACCTAAAGTGGGTAAAGCATTGGCAGTCATCAACTGTTGTCGTTTCTAGCTACGAAAATTGTCACCCATCGAACACTTGCTGGATGCAAAGAAAGTAAGATTTGGACAAACGCAACAGAAACACATTACAAATTTTTGATGATTTTACATCCTGTGAGTTTATTACCAACATGCGACGACCATACTGTTGAGGAACAGAGAGCTTTGAGTTCCTCGTTCCAGTAAGGGTCAAGTTAGCTTTGATCACTGAGGTTTGTGCTTTTCTGCATGCAACAAATATGCGGTGAAATTTGAGAGGAAGGTTACGATTACTAATGCGACAAGCGCATCCTCAATGTCGCCGTTAAGATTCCTGGCATTCCAACGGTCAGTTCAAAGGAAGAAGCCTGAAACCAGAAGTAGCCACTGTCATTTCATCTAAGCAGTGCACATTTCTATCAACTATGACTAGTGATTATTGTTGGAGAACAAAAACAAAAACATACATACATGTGGATCGTCCTTGGACAACCGCTCGGCCGTTAGCTTTAAGCCTACCATACCACACTACGTGGCCGGTATGCGAACATATCCTGATTAAAACACACAAGTATTAATTCAGAGCTGCAAATATTTTCATACAACACACTGGATAAAGATTAGGCAATAATCAAATAAAGCCACAAAAGAAGGGAGCTGGGGCCTCTCTCTCTCTCTCTCAGATTCAGGGAAAAAAAGAAACAAAGAGAATAGAAAGAGAGTATCATCCTGCAAAGAAAGTCCCCCGAAACAGGTAATATTCAGTACACAGGGATTCAACATGGCGCAGATGGAAATATCATTAAGCGTGAACCTAGTATCACAAAAGGAAGGAGATTCATGCAGTGCAGAAGGTACTGGATTTGATCCATAATAGATCCATGCGTCTCTCACTGACCTGCTACTCCCTCTCAGTGTTCCTTCTTCCGCACACGCCACCGATGAAAACCTACGACTGATATTCCCATTGTTGGAGCAGGGGGCAAGTCGTCGCCATCACTGGAACCGCCGTTGAACTTGTCCTCAGCCGGCACTCCATCGTACGCAAAGAGGTGAAGACCATCGGAACCACGTTGCCATCTCAGCCAACTAATAAAGAAAAAAAATCATCTCTAAATATATACTTCTTGTTCCTCTTTGCATCAATATATCAGACAACTAATAAAGAAAAAAAAATCAGCAAATAGGATTATAGGAATTTCCTAATTGATCAGGAAACATAAATAAAAATTAATGATTCTTGCTTAGTCTGTTTAAGCTGTTCTAAACAACACATGATGAACAAACATATATAAGTATATATGATATGCATTTGTAGGCTCATTAAAGTGCTCATTTGTCTGGCATCCCAACTAATTAAGATGTCACTTTAGTTGTTTTCTGTCACCGAAAAGAATTCATCTAATATATACCATGTGTCCGCCCTAGACAGAAACATTCTTAAAATAACCAAACAAACATTCTTAAAATAGCATTTGACATTACATTGATGTACACTTCAAAAAACATAACTATCAAGATAAGGAGAGCCATTTGGCAGGAACTATTCATTTAAAAACACAAAATTCGACAAATAAAAATAGGACTAATGGGGATGGGGAAGCAATTTGGCAGAAACTGTTCATTTAAAAACACAAAATTCGACGAATAAAAATAGGACTAATGGGGATGTGGAAGCAAGAGTGTTACTTTGAGCCGAATCAGGTGTGCTGGCACAGAAGAGAAGAAGGCGCAAGGAAGCTGGATGGTCGAACTCGGCGTAGGTCGAACGAAACGTTGGACAAATTCGGCACCTTCGGGGAGGAGAGTTGCATACCAGCGTGGCGTGCACAGCACCTCCGGCAGAAGGGAGAACAACCGGCAACGTCGGGAGCAGTCCCGGGCGGGGCTCTGACGGAAAGGGGAACCACCACGGTGCCGGCAGAGGCAGTCCTGGACGGGGCTCCGGAAGAATGGGGAACTACCACGGCAGCGGCAGGGGCACGATGTGGTGGCGTGTGGCGGGGAGTCGCGAGGAGGCACGACAGTGAGTGCGCTGGTCCAGCGGCAGTGAAGACACGGCAGCGGCGGCGCTGGTCCAGCTGTGGACTGTGGCGACAGCCGGGATTCGGGCGAAGCGAGGAGGACAGAGAATGCGCACGGAGCGAGGAGTGAGGGGAATCACGCGCGGGAGGCGGAGTCATCGCGCGTGGGGGCGGAGTGGGGGTGGAATTGGTGGGATGGGATGGCGATTAGATGAGAAGGTGGATGGACGAGTGAGATTAGATGGAATGATTTCGCCCGTAGGATTGGAGGGGTGAACTCCTTCTTAGAGCATCATCAACAGTATCCCTAAATTTTATCCTAAAAATATTATTTATGGAAATCCTAAATAAAGTTTAAGATGTTAAAATAATAATCTCTCCCAGAGATTGGCTAAATTTGACTTCCTAAAAATAAAAGTTAGGTACCATACAAAACTGCCAACAGAAATCCTTTTCATTCTCCCTCTTGTGAGATCGCACTCGCTCGTGCGACCTGTGATCGCAGTGTCGTGCTCACTGCTCGGCATCGCTCCACTCAACGTGATCAAGCTCGGCAGGTCTTGCAGCTCTAGTCTCCAGACATGGGATCTAGCAACAGCAACCAGCTCCAATCATTCGCAATCAACACCAACCAATAAGCAGCACATTAGTAGCTCCAGAAACTTGTTGGTAACTCAGCAGTCCACAGCATAAGCACCAGCAGATCAGGTACAAGATATGAATACTTGAGCGACAATACAATGTCAAAAAATAAAACATACAAAATTTGCATATCAAGTACTATCTATTTATTCGTGCCATTCTTGTTACACAACAATGGTGCAATTTTAGCAGCAACATCAGCAGCAGCAGGCAGCAACACCATTCACCAATTTCAGCAGCATTCTAGCAGCAATTAAGTTCGCATCCAGCACATAGCAGAGGGCATCAGTTTTCAGCAAACGTCAGTTTTTAGTTTGCAATTGCATTAGAAAGGATAAGAGAATCAGAATAGAGTCATGTTCTATTGCTTATACTTGGATTTCCTAAGTTCTGTGGTTGTCTTGCATCAGTCAAAAATCAGAAAAGGAGGATTGGCCAAATAAAGATCGATCCCCAATTTTCCCAAAGATCGATCCAAGTCACGAAAAAAATTACCAAATCCAAAAATCCTAACTCAAGAAATCTCAAGAAACCCTAACCCAAGTCAGACGACTAGGATCGGCAGTGGCTCCTACTACACGCCGCCGCTGTAGGTTGTCGCATCGGCGCATGCCGCTGGGTGCGGATGCGTGAATCGGGGCACCGGTCAGATGCTTGAACGGGGTGCCAACCAACTATATGAGAGATGCATCTGGTGGCGGGGTAGCTAGAGGTGACTACAAGGGACAACCCCACGAGATGAAGTTGCAGACTAGAAAATTTCGACGAGGGTGTAGGAACTGCCACAAGCACGCGGGAGAGGTGGATTAGGAGCGAGAACTCTTCTTTACTTGTGGGGAGCGAGAAACCAGGAGATGGGAATCCTGGTAATTAATGGGTTTCTTGTTTAGGGCCACTACTGGATCAATTTTTATCAACAAAACTCCAAAATTATTGGATAGGGATTTGCTTTGGGATGCTCTTATATTAGTATAGATATGCAGGAATAAGCTGCATAGCATGTTGATTGCAACAATCATCATTTTACATAAATAATAGATATGTTAATTTATTTATGTCTTCAACCACATTGAATAAAATAAATATTCCGTTTAGATATATCCTGTTTCATGTCTGTGGGTTACTGAGATGTAAAAATCTCATGTGGGAAACAAGCATGATCAGGCTACCATTTCAATTTGCAAAGGATGATGGTCTTCACTTTTATATCCCACTCTGCACTGGGAGGCCTTCTATTTTTAACTTTCATCTACTGATGTCGTCAGTCATTCAATATTGTTGACACTTTTCAAGGCTCGGTTCTACACTGAGTTAACTTACAAGAAAAACAATATTTGATCTAGAGCCAATGCGTGTTATGCAGAAACTAAAACAGAGAATGAGCTGTTTGACATGGTCAAACTCATATACATAACTAGTTGGCACCCAGCGTCTTTGCCATAGGTTTTGTAGTATTATCGTCAAACAAAATCATAGTTTTAAATGGTTAGGTGCAACTCTATGTATATACAAAATATATGATAATGTAGATTTATATATGCCTTATGTTATTACAATATAATTCATGCTTTATTTTTCTAAGCGTCATTGTGTATTGTTATAATATATGAATATTATTTTCATGCGCAATATGGGTATCGTTATTGTTAGACAATTTGCATCTCTCTACTTCAATCAAGTTTTTTCTGAAAATAGATTCAGGTAATGATACCTAATAATTATATGATATCTTATCATGCATAATAAAACAAAACACACATATTAAACAATCATCACATATTAAACAATAATTTGAGTTGTATTCAGAAAACATGGTGTTATGCACAAAATATGTAACAGTGCTATGTGTGACTGTGAGGTGGAGCAAAGGGAGGTGAATAGATAACTAATGAATGATGGAATTGGATGAATAAGTAGCTTCTTGATTCAACTGTTATTATCTTTGTACTAATATGATCTAATTGTTGATGATGTGGCTTCTTACATGTTTTGCTTTATAGGAGTAAATGTCCCTTAGTGGGTACCAAATATATAGGAAGATGGTATTTACTGCATTGCAAAGTATAATATGTTACCTGCTTTACTCTAAATGTTGTCTTAAAAAAAGTATATATACGTGCACTGCACAGTCTCATCTCATTGTTGTACAACCAGCTATTGGCACAAAGCATCAGTATTATGCTTTACTCTGCTCGAGCATTTTTCAACTATTTAATTTTGTTGTGTTGATCTTCTAAATAATTATTTTACTTGGTCACGTCCAAGCTATGTTTCCATTAGGGTTTGGGTGGAGGCAACGCCCAGGCGACTGGGCGGCAAAGCCTTCCCTCCCATTCTGGCGATGGAATTGGATGGAGGTTTTCTACGATCTGCTTATGGAGTCTGCAGGGTTTACGCCTGCCCTTGCTAGTTTCTTTGTTGGGTGGATTCATGGTGGATCGCCTAGCTTTCTGCTAGGGTTTCTGGAGGATTAGTTAATCCCTCTGAATTATCCAAATCCGAGGGATGTTGGGATTCGTTCCCAAGCCCACGATCCATATGGCAAGTTCTATATTGCTCCAGTTGTTAATTGGATCGAGGGGAGATCGGTTTACTTGCGATCTGATCTACAAAAGTTTCCTTCGATAGTTTCTGGGGAGAGAGAGGGACTTGGTTGACAGTCCCTTTATAAGGACTGGTCTTCCAAGTATCTGGAACCAACAAGTTCAATATCCACAATCGGGTGTGTTAGGTCGCAATCCAATATGTTCTTGTTTCTTCAAAGGAAGTTCAATGGCAACTACTGGTGGTGGGGGCAATAAAGGGGTCGTCAGTGAGATGACTACCCGCTCGAAGCCGCTTAGTGGTACCATGGATGTTCCATCGAATCAATTGGTGTTGATGACGAAGGAGTCGCCGGCGGCTGGCCCAAAAGATCTAATTCTCTAAGATGCGATGGCTAGCGTGTACCGAGAAGAGTTTCAACCGAGTTTCCAACAGGGCCCTTCACAATTCACCGAGGGATAGTTGCATGAGGAGGAAGATAATGTGGTTGAAGTTAATATTGAAGAAGAAGAGACAATTTGTTTATCATAACCTTTTGTGCAGAAGGAGATTTCAAGTTTGTTCTTCAAGGGGGTCCTTGGCTGCATAGAGGTGATGCCCTCCTAGTTGTTGAATTCGATGGCCTGACTAGCCCATCCAATGTTCCTCTGGATGTAGTTCCAATTTGGATCAGAATATATGATCTGCCTTTAGTGCTAATGACAAAGGCTAGAGGAGAACTATATGGAAGGAGTTTTGGTCGAGTTCGTGAAGTTGATGTGGAAGCTGATGGCTGCAATAGACATGATTGTTTCCGCATACTGGTGGACTTACCTGTTGCAAAGCCTCTGAAATCGAAGATAGGGCAGTGAGGAGGTCAAGCGGTTTGATTGGACAATCTGATAAAGAATGTGACAAGAAGAGTGCAAGCAAGGATGTGCCGTATCGCTTCTCTGTTGAACTGCACTGTTCTCCTCTGAAGCCTTTTGACAGGAAGGTGAACAAAGTCAAGGCAACATACCAGCCAAATGCTTCACGTAAGTTGGTTTTCAGAAGTGCTGGGAGTGCGGTTTCTTCTTCTTCAAGGAGAGGTCAGAAGGAGGACTGGGCCGAGGTTGTTCCCCCAAGGGTGGATGCTTGCGATGATTTCGATCATAGGGAGACAGAAGGGGATGTGCAGATAGATGAGCAACTTGCACAACAAACACATAAGCTGAAGGTGTCATATGCGACTGCTCAGCGTTAGGGGGGTATGGAAAATCAGATCTTCAAGTCTGACAAAGGCAGCACGGATGATACATTGGTGTCCACAGATCCTAAAGGAGGAATGATTCTGGCCATGCAGGAATTACACCTCCTAGCTTCTTTTGGGGATGCATCTATGGAGGATACAGGAGGTGCAAACAAGAGGAGGACCCCTGAACAGAGTGGACAGAAGAAAGTTGGTAGAGTACAGCTGGCCTTGCTAGAGTATGGGCAGGGGACAGAGGAAGTTAGGAAAGAGCTGAATGAGCCACATCAGAAAGGGAGAGCTTTGAAGCGTTTCAAGAAAGTTACAATGGAAGGGACTGTCCTGGATGATTTGGAAGCAATCAGCCCCGGGGCTGCTAGTAAACTGGCGGGACCTATGACAGGTTCCCGCTGGAGCAATGAGTTACTTATCTTGGAACTATCGTGGTATAGGGAACGCTACGACAGTTCGCGATTTATGTGCCTTGGTCCGCGAGGCTGGTTCCTAGTTAGTGTTTTTGTGTGAAACAAGACAGACAATAGAAAAGGTGAGACGTCTTCGCAATAGATTGGGACTTAGAGGATTTGCTGGCTGGATATGTAATGGAATGAGTGGTGGTCTAGCGCTCTTTTGGGATGAGTCTGTTTATGTTGATATTAAAGGAATAAATGATAGATATATTGATGCTTATGTTCGGTTGTCTGTGAATGATCCGATGTGGCACATCACTTTTGTTTATGGTGAACCAAGGTCTGAGAACCGGCATAGAATGTGGTCCTTGCTTGCATCGCTAAAACAAACATCAAATCTGCCTTGGCTTG